TATCTCCCTGTTTGTAATATTTGGAATGAAAATGTTTATCTTGTGCCACTGCATGTTGGAAGTGTTTAACTTTGTTTTCATTTGTACAGGGGCTTGCAGTTGAGAGTTTGCCTTAAATCTCAGAAGAGAGTTGGGACTTGGACTTTTCAACATTGCTGAAACTGTTTGGACTTTGACTCTTGCAGATGGACTAAATGCTTTTGCATAAAGGAATGTGCATGAGTCTCTGGAGCAAAATGTTATGCTTCTAATGTAATATAATGTTGATAGATGTAATATTGGTTCTCAAGGATTGCCAAGCCTGTGTTATAATGTTCCAAGTTGTAAAATGATAAGAATAAGCATGTCTTTATAGCTGGAGACAGATTTAAAGAAATGTGTGATTGCCAAGTTGACAATGGGAGGATTGTTGTGATTGGTACATTGTGTCAACTTGAGAAGTTTAGAAGTTTTGCTAAGTGACTCAGCAGGAAGCCAAGGTCCTTACTTGGTAAACAACCTTATCCTGTGCAAGAGGAGGGCAAGATTTTGTGCCTGCTACACTTGCTGGGGGAGGGGTGCATAGAATATAGGGAGGAAAAGAGGCTTTTCTCCCTTTATGCCCGTGTTGCCTTGCTGTCTTCTGCCAGGGGAAGCGTTGCCCCTCAGCCGTGCCACTCTGCCTTGCATCAGTTGATTATAGACCGAAACCTTCACAAACTATGAACTAAATAAACCTTTCCTTCTTTGAGTTTGGGTGTCAGGCATTTGGTTCCAGCAATAAAAGTAACCAACACAGCTTTCATGGTCATTTTTACTTTGGGGAAGAGTCACAAGCCAGATCCAGTGAACAGATGAGGCAGATGAGGACACAAGTCATGTTTTTGTTTGATAGAAATTGCTGTAAACATTTTGAATGGATTCAGGATATCCAGGCAACCATAACTACACAACCGAAGACACTCACAAAAGAGGACTCCCAGGGCTGCTGCAGAAAGTGACAAAGATGATAAGTATGTTTGAAGCAAGGACACACGTGAGGGGGGTTCATGGCAATGTGTTCTTTACTGAAATAAATTATTTTTTTATTTAACACTTACCATATTTTGCAGTCACACACAATATTGCCAGATGGCCTCTGTGTGAGCAGACAAGGCAGTTAATTAGCAGTGTGATGGAACTCCTCGGAGCACACAGTTTGCACCTCCACTTTGGGGGTACTGAGTCTCAGAACCCCATACCCACAGAGAGTGGTGTGCATAGGGCTTGTGGAGGATCAGCCACACCCTGCGAGGAAACCTCAGCGGGAGCACACAGGTCCCTCAACTTCTCCTGGGTGCTGTGCTTGGCAGAGACCCCAGCCCTGGCTCCTCTGGAAGGTGAAAGAGAGGGAGCCTGTGAGCCAGAGGGACCCGTGACACTCCAGCACCTCACTCGGAACATTCTGGGTCAGTGGTGGCAAACCTGGGGCACATGTGCCATGGTGGGCCGTGCACAGCCTTGGAAGCTCTAAAAGGTTCGCCATCATTGGCCTAGGCGTTAACACACCAAGCCTGATGCTAACCTCAGGGGAGGCAGTCTGCCTGCTTCCTCCATGTGCCTCTCCGGCGGTTTCTGCCCAACTTTTTCCATCTCTTCCCCAATTTCATCACAAACTCAGCATCTGTTCCCCCCTCTTCCCTCTCACTCTTTGTGTTTCTCTGCTCCTTCTCTTCCTCTGTCGTGGGTGGGCCATAATCCTGGTTCCTTACACCCTCTCTTCACTGGTGGGAACACACCATTACTTGTTGTTCCCTGGTGGAGATAAATGTCCCCAGAGGTTGCATCCAGTCTGAAGGTGGTATGAACCAACTCATACAAGAATTCTAGTGAGGGCCGGGGATTTAGCTCAGCAGGCGTAAGTGCCTGCCTGGTGAGTACTAGGTCATGAGTTTGATTCCTACTACCAAAACAAGAATTCTCATGAGTGAGGTTTTCCCATCAAGTGTCAGCTTAGAATGAATACTGACACTGCCTGATTCTGAAGGGCTCATGCCAATCCACAGCAGCACTCCGTGGACCCTGTGGATCTGAAGTCTGTCGGACCTTTTATGTTCTATAAATCCTATCCCCGGCTGGTACTGACCTACTCCCTCCTCTCCAGTTTTCCTAAGAGCTTAATGTTCGCATCTGGACCCCAGCACCCATGTCACACGGTGTTGTTACCTGTCCTGCGTACGTCAGTCTGGCCTCACAAGTCCCTACTGTGTTCTCTAGTTGTATTCCATGCTGCCATTTATCAATAGTGTTTAAAACTCAGTTTCAAGTATTATATTTTTGTAACTGATATTTATCCTTGGTCCTATATTTTTTGTTCAATATTCTTATTAACTTCTGTTTTCCCCTTGAGTATGTGTATTACTTTAATTTCTAATTCAGTCTGAAATCTACTGTGTGCACATGTGCCTCTGTGTGTGTGTGTGTGTGTGTGTGCGCGCGCGCGTGTGTTTGTGTGTGTGTCACTGGGGATTGAGCAAAGGGCCTCTGCCCTGAGCTACATGGCTGGTCCTTTTTATTTTTTGAGGCAGACCTTGACTCCTTGACTCCAACTTGTGATCCTCCTGCTTCAGCCTCCTAGAATGCTGGTGTTACAGATATGTGTCATCACCCATGGCTTAAAATTTAAATTTTTTTTGAGACAGGGTCTTGCTTTGTAGTTCAGGCTGGCTTTGAGCTCACTTTGTAACCCAGGCTGGTCTGGAACTCACAATGATCCTCCTGCCTCAGCCTCCCAAGTGCTGAGATGACAAGCGTGCTCTACCATGCCTGGCTTAAAATTCAATTTTTAAAAATGTTTATGTTCATCAAATGTCCCTTTACATTTGAATCTGAAATGATTCTATGCTGTCTTGTTAGACAGCCACAGAGACCAATCACTGTTCTCGGGTGGTAAGTTTGGAGTCCGACCTCAAGCCTGCTCCTATCTCCAGACTTGCTAATCATAAGGAAAGCCCCATGGCGTGCTCAGTCCCAGGAGCAGACCGGATCCCCAGCTGCCTTTCCTCAGCCCCGCACAGCGACAGGCGAACTCGGGAGGCTGCGGCACTCAGCTCCACGTCCCCCACAGAGGACTCTTCTTCCAATGACTTTTAGAAGACAGCATCAGATGCCTCAGAGCTCTGCCCAACAGTGCCGTGGGGTACCACAACTCACACTAAACCGTGGAACCTCAGGGAGCGGCTGTCCACACACACCAGGGAGCCTGGGTGGGGCCCCGGGGACCTAGAGGCCGAGCAGTTCAGGTCAGCAAGTGGCCTACAACACCGTGGAGGACGTCTACACACTGCCCACTGCGGATCTGCTTCCAGGGGCTCTGGTCTCTTCCCTCCATCTTGCCCACCCTGCCCATAGTCTTCTTTAGCTTTTCCAGTGCCACGAGGACCAGGCGGTCTCAGAGGCCGCCCTTGCTGTGTCTGTGTCTGCTGCATGGTGCCCCCAGCCCCAGCTCCGTGGTGTGTGGACAGCAGCTGCCATGTGTCACTGTCCACTGCCCCATCCCTGCTAATCCCACACCGCACCCCTGGTACGGGCCCCCACCTCCTTTGGGGGTCCCTGAAGGGCCTCTCAGAGCCGGCTGTACGCAGCCAGAGTTCTCAGAGGCACAAAAGAGGAGGAGAAAATTACACCCTCTCAAGACCCACGAGGGCACAGTCCTCTCTCCGCTTGCTTTTCCTCGCAGCCCTGGCCTCACCCTGCAAACACAGGCTCGGAGGCCCAGGATGCCTCTGGGCCTGGACAGGAGAGCTCTGAGCTTCCAGATGCCCAGCAGTAAGAGATGCAGAACGACGATGCTTGAGCGTGGTGTGTACTTGATTTACTACAGGGACAGGGGCAGGAGCGCTCAGGGGTGGGCCGCCGTGGTGTCCTGGATCCACTTCCGGTAAGACACTAGCTTGGTATACAGGGCGGGCTTTGCAGGCTGCCCACAGGGTTTACCGCCCCAGGAAGTGAGACCCTGAAGCACGCCATTACAGATGAGCAGGCCCCCCCCCCGAGTCCCCCTGAGAGTTAAAAGGACACAGATTGAGAAACGTCAGCCCCAATCTCTGCCTGGGGGACCCGTCTCTCAGACCCAGGCTGGATGATCACCAAGAGCAACTCCCCAGCAGCGGGAAAACAGAAATGTCTCCAGAGCCCATGCCTGGAAGGCAGGCAGGGATTCCTACAGAGGACACCAGCTGGCGTCCTGGTCACGGGGAAGGCAGGGCAGAGCCCAGCTCCTGCACAGAGGGCCAGGAGCACACAAGCCTCACACAGGGCTGTGGCAGGAGCAGCGGCAGGACCCTCGCCCCCAGGGTCAGCACATCACAGGCCCTACTGGCTCCAGCACCGGGCAGTCCGATCCCCAGACGGGCACTAGAGGGCGGCCGTGAGCTCGGAATTCTGCCCAGCACCAGCCACAGCTCCCAGCTCAGCAGAGGAAAGGCAGGGAGCCCCGGGGACCCAGCTGAAGCCCTGCAGGACGGGACCCTCAGCCCAAGCCTCTCGTTGGCCTCTTCCTCCAGCCACACAGTCTCTCTGCCCTCACAGCCTCCATGCCCTCTGCACCAGGGCCCTTAGCACCGCCTGCCCTATGCTCTCCTCCGGGACCACAGGGTCACCTCCCCCTGCATCTGTGAGGTTCCCCCACCCCATCTCCCCGCTGCCCTGCTCCACGCACAGCACAGCTGCTCTGCCTCCTGACCTCTCATAACCTCTGCGTTCCTCTCCGTTTTGCGCCCCTCTCCCAGCATGGGGCTACTCCTTGCTCAGCATCGTCCTCCTGGGCTCCAGGGCAGCGCTGGGCACCAAGTGGACGCCCCGCATGTGCGGAGAGCTGGGGTTGAGGAGCCAGGAGCACACAGCACCCGGAGGGGGAAGGGAAGAGAAGGGACCCGAGGGAGGGGCGGGGCCCAGGAGCCCTAGGGCCTCAGCTTGCAAGCACGGAATCAGGGTTCCCTCCACACTCTGTCCTGAGGCCTTGGGGAGAGGGCTTGGCTCACCACACAGGAGTCTTTGCCGCCCTTTAAGTGCCTGCACACAGCATAAACTCGGTCACCAGCTTGGAGTAGGCTCTCTGACACAGGTCAAGGGACAGGAGGCTGAGGTCCATGCACTGCAGAGTCCTGGGGAGCACAACTGCGGGCCACAGCAAGCGGGGCTGCCACCGGCCGTGGCCTCCCAGCCCTCCTCCCGCAGACCCAGGTGCACAGGCTCCACGCTGCTGCGTGGGCCATAGGCCCTGACGACCTACACTGGTCTACCTCTGGCTCAATGTTGCCCCAGCCGGAGGCCAAACACGTGCTCCCCGGCTGTGGCTCCCGTGTGGGCAAGTCGAGGACCTGCACAGACAGCATCGGTGATGTTGGCCACCTCCGACAGGCGGAGCAGCATCAGGTCATGGCTGAGGCCGGCCTCTCCGGCCCACAGGAGGCTGATGTGGTAGAGCGGATAGGGGAGAAAGGAGCTGATGCGGATGTGCTGGGCTGTGTCTTCCCTTTCAAACAGGTTGTGGCGACCCAGCAAGACCAGGCTGTGGCTGCGGAGACTGAGGCTGAAGGGAATGTGGGAAAGGGAGCCAGGAGGTGCATGGGGAGCGTGGATGAGCAGCAGCAAAACACACAAAAACAGGGTGGAGGAGGCACAGAGAATGAAGGGAGGCACAGAGGAGGAAGGGGAGGCACAGAGGAGGAAGGGAGGGGAAGATGCAGGCAGGGAAAGACCGCGTGGGGACAGGACACAGGTGTGAGGTGGAAGGCAGGAGCACAACAGAGGAAAGAAAGAGGGCACCAGGATGCAGGGGCGAGGAGGAGGGGAGGACGGAGGACGGGGAAGCACCTGGGACCAGACACAGAGCAGCCAGGCGGCTGTGGGTAAACAGAGGGCCGTGCAGGCAGAGAGGAGCCTGTAGGATGGCCCAGGGGAGGAGTGGGAGGGGCTGAGAAGGGTCTGGGAGCAGCTGGGCTGCAGCTGGGCAGAGCTAAGGGCTCCCAGCAGGCAGCCTGGACCCCAGCCCAAGGCCAGTGCCACAGCCAAACACCCTGCCCACCCTCATCCCTGGGGCCCAGCTCAGGCAGCCCTTTCCCGAGCCTCCCATCCTGTACCACAGTCTGGCAAGGAAGGCAGGGTGAGGAACACCCCACACATGCTTCTGCCCTGGGGTCCCCCTGGGGGTGTGGTGAGCAGTGATAGGGAGGGACTGAAATGGGGATTTGGAGAGAAACACTGAGACTTGGGTGGGAGGCCACAGTGTGACAGAGATGCAGCAGAGACACTCAGACATGGACAGAGATGGGGGAGATGCAGGGACACCAGGTGGGAGGAGAGAGGGAGACAGAGAGGCTCGAGACTGAACCTGGACTTGACGAGGTTCTGGCATTGAGCTACACCCCAATCCCTGCTCACCTTAGAAGGCAGTGGGCAGCGGTGAGCACCCACTGGGGGTGCACCAGGACGCCCCCACACACTGCTAAGCCATCGTGGTACACAGCTACCTGCCAGGGCTGGGAATGCTTCTCACACTCCCAGCCTCCTACAATGCGGGACTGGACAGAGGGGACGGCAGCACCCGGAGAAGGGGAGGCCGGGTGGGACACAGGGTTGACAAGAAGGATGGGGCTGGGACTCCTGAAAAGGAGCTAGCTGTCCCGTGGGTCTGAGGGGATGCGGTGGCACAGGACCAGGGCTCGGATTCAAGGTCATAGGCAAGGGGTGGAGGGTAGATGGCTGGAACCTGAGACCATTTCCCGAGACCTGCCCTCTGTTGGTGGGCTGCTGTCTGGTCCCGATTCATGCTGTTACAGCTGATCAGACCCCAAGGAGAAGGGCAGGGGACACCAAGGCAGCACCTGGAGCAAGGACTGAGGCAAGAGGCTGGGTCACATGGTGTCACTCGGAGCCCTGGGCTCAGGGGATGGTACAGAAACTGTGGGCTGGGGTGGGGTGGAAGATTCTAGAAAGCAAAACCGAGCTGCTGGGAGAGAAAGGCCTTGGCAGAGTCTGAGGAAACAATCTCAAATTGGAGTTGGTCTCTGGAGCTTCTGAAGGAGCTGCCGAGTCAGGGACTCGGCCCTGGGGTAACTGGCAGCTGCGATCGGGGTGCTCAATGTCTTGCCTGAGCAAAGACTGGCCACTGATGAGGTCTGGGCAACAGGAGACGCTTTCAGGCCGATGCCAGGTGAGGGGTTATGGTCACAGGACCGACAGCCTGGCTTGGGGGGGGAAGTGGAGTGTTTGCTGGAGTCTAGTTTTCCTGGGAGCAGGAGTAGGGGTCTTGGGGTACAGGGTTAAGGTCTGGGGCACAGGGTTGACAGTTGACAGTTAGTAGAATCTGGAAAAGTCAGGAGAATCTAGTAGGACCAAGGAGTTCTAGAGATAGACCCCTCACCAAGAATGAGCCTCCAACTTTGGGCCCCACAGGGATAAAAATGACCCAGAATCCGCCCCTTTAGTGAACTGGCTGGTGGCAGGAAGCCACCTTGGGAAAAGAATGTTCCAGGACTCCTGGGGGAGCAGGACCTGCAGCAGGAATGAGATGTGTGATGGATTTAGCAGTGTGGAGAGGCTGGGGCAGGATTTTAGGACAGGACTGTAAGAAACAGGAACAAGCCCAGTACGCTGGCTGGCATAGGGTGAACTGTGGCTGAGAGATGCAGCTGGATGCTGAGCGGGAGAACAAGGAGGTATGGGGGATGAGGGCAGATAAGAATCTGGGCCCTTTTCTTCCTCCTCTTCTTCCTCCTCCTCCTCCTTCTCTTCCTCCTCCTCCACCCCCCAGTGACTCACCAGTCCCCCCTAGGAATAGGACAAGGCACAGAACCAGCAGTCACATGGTGACAGAGGTATCCAGGGGCAGGTGGGACAAGCTTGGGACTGAAGAACCTCCCAAGCGAACCTCATAAAGCCTTCCTTCTCCCAGGGACCCTGCTTCTGCCCTAAGGGTGCTGGCCAAGGCCCTGCCCTGCTTCTGGGAACTGGGCTCCTCCTCCACACTGAGGGCTGTAGAAGGGGAGGAGGACCCATATTTGTTGTTCCGGAGATACCAGGCCTCCTTGGGTACATTCCCAGGGCTCAAGGCCTGAAAGAAGTGGGCCAGAAGCTCCAAAAAGAGAGGCCCAAAATGAACAAGGGCAGGACCAGGACACAATACAAAGTCTCGTATCCCTAAGTCCTGAGGAAGTCCTTTGTACCCCAAGACCCAGTACCCCCTAAAACACCAGTACCATGAGGCTATGAAACGCCCGCACCACTCTGGAACCAAGTGCTAACTCCATCTTCTCCTGTCCCTACAGTAGAAACCCTTGTTTTCAGAACTCTCTTACTCCTGCACCCCAAATTCAGAATCTAGTTTCCGAAGTCAGTTGGCACTCTCATAATATAGATTTGAGGTCCTACAGAGCCTGCACTGGTGGCATCCAGATGCCTCACATTCTCCAGTCCAGAAATGGGAATCTTGGAATTGAGTTCCTTAGCATTTCACAATCTACCGTCCTCCAAACAATCTGGAATTCCAACAACCTCTACTCCTCCTTCTCCAGATCCATGCCCAACACTCTCTCCTCAGACAAGCAGACCTCAGGAGCCAGGTTGATATTTCCGCTATTTTTTTTTCTTTTCCTTTTGTTTTAGAAGCCAGATTTATGCCCTTCAAAATTAAGTGGCATTTAAAAATCACACATTGTTGGACATGGTGGTACATACCTCTAATCCCAGCAGGCAGGAGACTGAGGCAGAAGAATCGCTGTGAGTTTGAGGTCAGTTTGGGCTATAAAGTGAATCCAAGGCCATTCTGAACTGCATAGTAAAAAGACCAAAAAATTTAAAAATAAAAAATAATCATGTGTTGGGGTCACAGAAGAGAACGGGGAGCAAAAGCATTGCCAGCTCCTCTGTTAACTGTAAGATTTCCTAGATTTGCAGCAGACTGGTTATCTACGCTGTTCTGTAAAACCAAAGCAGCTCATGTGGCTCCAGTGCCAGCAGCATGTATGAAAACCAAATCCCCCCTCTCCCTTTAAAGACTAATAAATTCAAAGTACAGTAAAAGACATTGAAGTGAGACCCAGATAAATAAAATTTAAGACCATATAGACTGGGATAGAGGGATATACTCAGGCAGTACACACACACACACACACACAACACACACACACACACACACACACACACACACACACACACGAATGCACGCACATACACACATACACACCAGTGCCTCCATCCAAGTGAGGTCCCCCTGGATCCAGTGTTACCAACTACATCCTAATCCCCATCCAATCAAACTTGACCCAAGCCTTTTTTTTTTTTTTTTTTTTTTGGTACTGGGAATCAAACTTACTACCTTGCACTGGCCATCAAACTTACTACCTTGCACTGGCCAGGCAGGTGCTTGTGCCACTAAGCTAAATCCCTGGCCTAACCCAAGCCAATTTAACACAACCCAATCCAACCCTAACCCAACTACACTTACTCTAACACCTTCGTCTTCAAAGCCTCATTTCAAGTCAAGTCAAACGCATCCCCACACATCCAACAGGACCCAGTGGCCACCTCTGTTCTCCACGTCCATCTCCAAAACCAAAATTACTCTCATCTCAAATCCTATCCCGTCACATTTCCCATCCAACATTAAACATTCATTTCCAACTAGAACCAGGTCACCCTAAGCACCCTGATATCATCAACCCCACACCCAATAAAAGGACAGTCCTGGCCCCATCTCTAACCCAACTCCAATATGATCCTCCATTCCCACAGATCCTCATTCTTCAGGCCCAAACATACATTTAATGTGAATACACGACCCTTCCTGTGTTTGGCCACAGGAAGCCAAACATAACCTCCTTCTAATTCCAAACCTGCCCACACCCTTTTCCTGTTGCCCCTTCTCATCTCTGACTTCATGGGAGTCCATGCTTGCCCCCTCCAGCCTGCACATGCTGTGGCTCCCACCAGGTGCCCTGGCTCGTGTTTGTTCAGACATGGCTCAGATAATGCTGATGCTGGCACAGGGAAACATATCTGGGAGTCACAGAGAAAAGATTAGGAGTAAATGCTTGAGATTCCATCAGTGGCAACATCTGCTCATGCTTAAGTGCCTTTCAGCCATGATTCCCTTTGGTCAGATGCTCCTTATTTAATACCCAGACGCAGCCCAACAGCTCACAAGCCGAGAGCTTCCGGGGTAGATATGGACGGAGAGGAGCATGCCGGGTAAGTCGCAGCAAAGTGACGTCAGGTGGTGATAGCGCGCCTCCTAGAGGAGCTGCTGAAAGACACATGATATATCCCACATGGCTCTGCAACTTCACACATGCGCATATTGGGCAAGCCAGGTACCACACTTGCAGAGGAAATGAAAGACAGGGATGGGCGCTGCTTGGTCCTTCATCCCTTTGGGAATCAGGAGTTCCAGTTACTTTCACCTCAGACCATTAAGTCAATGGTTCCAGTCCCCACCCCTCGGAGACCAAAAACAATCAAGCCTCACACACCAGGAATTCAACTCTATTCTTCTGTGTGGCACAGGATTCTTGAATTCGGAAACTATTCCCACATCGTACCACGGGAGATCAGACCTTACCAGTAGCATCGCTCAGGAACCTAAGAGTTCAGAACCCAAGGGCCCAACTCCCAGCTCTTCCTCCTTCAGAACTCAGGAGCCGGGTCCACTCCAGCTCCCTTTGGCGATGGGCTGCTACCACACATGGTCGGCAGAACTATGGTTAGGCTAGAAGCTGGGTAGGGATAGAGAAGCAGTTTGTGGTGGATAAAGTGTTTGACCATGGTGTGCTGGGGTTGCCCTGCAGATCAGGCTAGAAGACACAATCTGAATAACATGAGGGATACAGCTTTCCAGGATTCTCTCACACTTCTGTGTGTCTTCTAAACCAAAGCACTAAGACTTTCCAAAAAATGGGGTCTCGCTGGGTGGTTCAGTATGGTCTTGGACTCACAATCCTTCTGCCTCAGCCTGAATGCTGGGATTGCAGGTATGTGCTGCTATGCCGGAAAAGAATTGTCTTCTCAAGGATGTTTGTATGTCAGGAAGCATGGCCAAGACAGTATCTCCTTCAGATCAGATCTGCTTGCTGTCCTAGGTAACAGTGTCTCTCTTCTCATGTTTGTTTAGTGTTTAGGATAATAAATATAAGGTCAGTTTAGCGTGGGTCTGTCTTCACTACCTGATATTAAAGATGATATCTTCATCAGAGACAAAGTCTGGGCAGGATTGTAAGGAGCCCTTTTATAAGACAGACGATCCTAAAGCTGAGAACCTACACCAGTGCTACATGAGTGTGCACAGGACACACCTGGTCACCCCACAAGGTTCGTGGCAAAGCCAGTGGATGTAAACATGAAGCTCATGCTGCCGTAGGCGTTCCGAGTATTCAAATCCTTGACCCAGGAATCTCATGTGTCCTGCCAGATCTCTGAAACTGTAGCAGGCTCACTTATTCCTTTGCGAATTAGTAAAATTTCAAAACCTTTAGTCTATTTGACAAAGCATAGGGCACAGCAGCTCCACCTGCAAGGGCAGGAGGCAAAGGCCCCAGTAGGGAGCAGTGGACAGGCGAAACGCAGGAAAGAGGACAGTGCAGAGAATGCAATGGGCTGGGCAGCATGGTGCACACCTCTAATCCCTGCACTTCAGGAGGCTGAAACAGGAAGACTGCAAGTCCGAGTCCCATCCAGGCAACCTAGCAAGCTCCTGCCTCAAATAAATAAATACATAAATAAGGCTGGGGGTGTAGCTCAATGCGGTGACCCTGGGTTCAATCCCCAGTCACACACACACTGGTGGGGCTGTTGTTGTGGTGTCTGAGAGGCCCGAAGGCAATGATCAGGGTAAGGTGTGGATAGAAGTCCACCTCCATCCTCTCCAGGGCAGAGACACTGGAACACAATTCACTTCTCTGCAGGTGGTGGCTGTTCATGGCCCCTGTCTCCAGAATAATCCAGACCTGGGGAGAAGCCCTCTCCAATCCCCCTTAAAGGATGACTGGATGGGTGTCTGTATGGGCTGAGGCCACGCCTGACATACAGGAAGCACTCAGCAATGCTGGCACACACAAGGCAACTCCCAGCACCGGGAGGGCTTTGTTCATGAGAAAGTGGGCAGCTGAGGGTTAACCCTGTCCAGAGAGGTTAGGCTCATGCCCCAGCTCCTGAGAGCCTTCAGCCACATCCCCCCTCATGAGAGAGTGCCTTTGTTTCCCCAGGGCATAGGGCCACATCTGGTCAGGGCTTTGGGCCACATGTATCAGCTAGACTGCTGGAGGGCCTGAGTACTCAAGGTCAGCTGTGATTGTGTCAGTAAATGCAGGTGTCATGAGGCCCAGCTGTGCACGTGTTTCTGCATGTTCGCGCGTGCCTGGCAGACACCTGGATGATCAAGGACCACACCGGTGGGCAATGTCCAGTGAACTGGGCCACGCCAGCTGGCACAATCAAGGACGGCTAGGATGTGCGAGTGAATACAAGACATCGCAGGACACAACTGCCGGAAATGGGGAAGAGTGGAGCACACAAGCTCCGCCTTGGCAGGTTGTTGCCTTCTGTGAGGACTTCTTACTCTGCAGGGACAGGACTTTCTGTTGCGAGGGGGCTCACAGCACATGCTGGAGCCCAAGGACTGGGAATCAAATACGGGGCGTGGTCTAGGCTCGGGGGCGGGTCTGGGCGTGGTCTCGGCTTGGGGCGGGTATAGGCGTGGCTTCTGCCCAGGGGGCGGGTCTGGGCGTGGTCTCTGCTCGGGACAGGTATGGGGCCGTGGTTTCCGCTCAAGGGGCGGGACTTGAGTGGCTTCACGCAGGAGGGCAGGGTTTGAAATGAGAAACAGTTTCTATTCAGAGTGGTCAGAGCGGTCTCTAGCAGTTTCTCTAGGCAGAGTCGGCTGTGCCTCAGGTAAGAAAACCGGAGGCGAGGACGAACAGCATAGCAACAGGTCTTCCCGCTCCACTCCCCAGAACCAATTTCTAACCTGGGCACAGTACCCTGCTGACAGAGCTGGCACATCTTGTGTTTGGCTTCTCTTGTGGTCTGGGGGGTTGGGGTGTCTGTGGCTTTGCGTGTCCAAGATGTCCTTTTCTCCTGGCAGGAGGATGGAATCTCGCTGCAGAGACTCAAAAACACCTGGGTTCAAATTTGAGTTCAAGCTCAGGGGTAGCAGTATAATCAAGACAAGCAAATGACTTCTCCAAATCCCCTCACCCTGGAAGTGTCGCGGATGAGACTGGGATTGAGCAGGATGACAGAAATGGAATCAGCATTCTCTGTCACCGGGCCAGCATCAGGTCCGGCTGGGCTCAGCTGCTGAACTGTGAGTTCTCATGGTCTCCTGTCTCTGGTTAGTCTCTGACACCCTGTCCTGAATCCAAGGCACATGTCTCGCATGAAAACATCCAAGGGACAGAGGATGTCGTCTGCCAAGCAGACTGTACGATGCAGCAGCATGCGAGCTCTCTCCGTGCTGGCAGCGACCAAAGCGGCCAGGCCAGGGTACTTGACTGTGAGACTGGGAAGTGGCAGGGAATTCAGGAGTACAGAGAGAGTAAAAGGGGGGAAAGGTGCCCGATGTGGTGGCACACACCTGTAATCCCAGCACTCGGGAGGCTGAGACCCCGAGGATCATGGCGAGTTCGAGGTGAGCCTGGGTACAAAGTGAGCTCAAGGTCAGCCTAAACTGCACAGCGGGACCCTGACTCAAGTGGTGTGGGGGGGGGGGGCCTCAGATAAAGAAGAAGCAGGAAGAAATTCAGACAATGGGAAGTGGAACTCAGGAGAAAAGGACATCTTGGACACGCAAAGCCACAGACACCCCAATCCCCCAGACCACAAGAGAAGCCAAGCACAAGATGTGCCAGCTCTGTCAGCAGGGTACTGTGCCCAGGTTAGAAATTGGTTCTGGGGAGTGGAGCGGGAAGACCTGTTGCTATGCTGTTCGTCCTCTGGCCTTTTCTGTCCTGCGTGATCCTTTCCCTGTCCTGGTCTCCCGCAGTCTCTCAGCCTCCCCCTCTAACTGGAGCCCCGCAGGTGCTCACATCCTTGGCGAAGACCCCTGTGGGGATCCCCGCATTCAGAGCACCTGAGGCCAATCCCTAATTGGATTCAAAGGTTCTGCAGTCTAGTAAAGCACAAGCCCATAACCAAGGAGTCTGATCCACCCCTCCCTGCACTCTAACACATGTACGTGCCACATGCACACAATACACCATGCACGCTCACGCATGCATGCACACAGCGGTGTACCTCATGCCCCTGTTCCTCCCTTCTCAGACCCAAAAGGCCAGAGCCACGCCTCAGTCTGATCCAGGGGTCCAGCCGCCTGGGAAGCGTCTCCTCTGAACAGAAAGGCATGTGGCTCCCCCTGGTGGCAGACTCAGTGCAAGCCGCATGAATAGAGAACACGGTATTTTCCCAATGCTATCTTTCTCCTAAAATGTACATACAGCTTTCTTTTTTCTTTACAAAAATACGACATGCCCTCATCCACGCAGAAAGGCTCAATAAATTGCCACGATCCAACATTATGCATACTGTGTCCTTTCAATAAAGTGGCATAAAAAATGAGTGACAATATAAGAGCGTTTTGAAAATATCTTCCGTCCAGCTGGGTGTGATTTCACACACCTGTAATCCCAGCACTCTGAGGCTGAGACAGGAGGATCCCATTTTTAAGGCCATAGCAAGACCCTGCCTCAAAGGAGAAGAAGAAAAAAGAGGAAAAGGAGGAAGAAAAGGTGAAAGAGGATAAGGAAAACCTCCCAATAATTAAAGCTAACTAGGAATTAACCCGAGGAACTAGTAAATCACAACAAAAGACTTGCAGAAAGTTAATATGAAAGCTTCTCTTTAATCAGCTTTCAGTATGCAACAGTAAACATCTTCAGATTTAATGGACCTAAAACAAGAGTTATGTTGTATGCCATGATCAGTTGGGTCATCCCACAGGGTTCTCCTGGGACAGCTCCTCTTGTACTTCGTGTGTTCCCTGTCCAGTTCAAGCAGCAGCCATGCACGTCCAGGTCCCAGATGGCCCCCTCAACACACCTGCACCTCAGCTGTGTGACACACCTGGCCTGTTCCCAGGCACGGTCTTTCCTCCCTCCCTCTCAGCAAGTAGCTGCTCTAAATTACAGAGATTGGGACCCAGCTTGATTTCACGACGGTCACCTTGAGTCACAAGGAGCATGACTGCCCCGGTGTAAGCC